AGAAGAAGGAAAACATGAACATGAACGCAAGAGGAAAGACCGAGGAAAGAAAAAAGAGGTGGCGGAAGAAGACGAAGAAGAAGCAGAAGAACGACACCGCGTCGACCTCATGATGCGGCAGCTGCAAGACATGGACTTGTCCGCCGTCGACGCCGACCATCGCACTCTGCTCCACTGTGCCGCCAACGACGGCGACGTCCGTCTCGTGGCTGCTCTCGTGGCCCGAGGCCTGGACGTGTGTGCCGAGGACAAGGACGGACAGACGGCGTTGAGTCTGGCTGCTCGCCAGGGCCACACGACGGTCGTGGCCCAGTTGCTGAGAGCAGGAGCCGAGTGCGACCACGCGGACGCCGACGGCTGGAGTCCCCTGCGGGCAGCAGCCTGGGCGGGCCACCTGGCCGTCGTCGAGGCCCTGCTGCACCACGGGGCCAGTGTGGACTCGGTGGACGCAGACAATAGGACAGCTTTGCGGGCAGCAGCCTGGGGAGGACACGACGACATCGTCCGCAGACTGGTGAGCAAATACAGTTCAGTGTAAAAAGAAAAGAAAAAAAGGGGCCACATTTTGTTTGCTCATCCTCATCATCATTATTCGATGTGTAATTTAGTCCTCGATAATTCGAACCTTCCTATGTCGACAAATTATCTTTTTTTTTTCTTCTTCGAGTCCCTTTCTGAATTCCGTTGAAATGCATGAATGAATGCATGTAAATCTCTCTCTCCAACTCCAAGGCTTTCTTCCTCGAACCTACACATACAATATAATGTAACTCGAATTTTCTGGAAATTCTTTCGGCTATTAGCTCATCGACGCAGAAAAGAGGAGAAAAGCAACTTGAGAGAAATTAAATTGAAGTAATTTTTGGACAAGTGAAAACTCATGTCCCCAAGTTCAGCATCATCCTGTCAACTCGTTGAAGAAGCAATTTAAGCCCCATATAGAATATTACGAATTACTGTACGATATCCTGAAACTCTTCTTCCTTTCCACCCAAAGAAGAGTGCTTATTCCCCGACTTGAATTTTTCTGCCGGTCTCGTAAAGTTCGACTGTATTTAATGTATATGTATTTTTTGGTTTTTTCGAAAACCGTACATTTTTTGTTCAAGTAAATTTGAAATCGTGGAATCGGAAGTCCAGATATCAAACATGACATCATGGTTAATATCGCTAATTCTTTTTTTTCCAACTCATAACTGGTATATTCAGACGAAGCATATTCATTGTCCCAACAGTGCACAGATTTATAGTTGACGTTCGTCTTTCCTCGCAACAAACACGCAAAAGACACTCGGGTAGATTCAATAAATAATTTTTTTCAGTATTGTTCTGAACCCCCTTATTACAGGCACGTACTGTTTGCATTCAATTTCAATTTCCCCATCAAAATCAGAAATAACAAAATGATGATTGATTGATTGATCGATCGATTAATCGATTAAACTCCCTTCAATTAGGTGGCAGCTGGCGCCGACGTGAACCGCCAAGACCACGAGGGCAGGACGGCGCTCATCGCCGCCGCCTACATGGGCCACTGCGAGATCGTGGAGCTGCTGCTGGACAGTGGCGCCGACGTGAACCACGAGGACTCGGACGGGCGCACGGCGCTGTCGGTGGCGGCGCTGTGCGTGCCGGCCAACGAGGGCTACGCCCGCGTGGTGCACACGCTGCTCACGCGTGGCGCCCGGGTGGACCACGAGGACAAGGACGGCATGACGCCGCTGCTGGTGGCCGCCTTCGAGGGACACAGGTCAGAGCTGGCAAACTGCATACTGCATATAGAGTACTGTACAATACTGTATATACTGTACAGAATACAGTACAGTAAACAGCAGAGTGTTCGTGCTCCATCTTTCATTTCATTCAGCTTTTTATTTATTTTCAAATACAAGTGTATGCAATACTGTGCCTCAATTCCTGCTTTGTGTTTCACTTTGATTCCCCTTTTTTGGTGCCTCCAATTCAAGTTGAAAAGGTCTCTCAGTTTTGTACTACAGTACCTGTACAGTGCATTCAAAATGACCAGGATGAAGTTTAAAGCTTTGTATGATTTCGCCTCACAGACTATTTTCCAAATATTTTGAATCAGCAGTAGTAAAAAAAAAAAAAAAAACTTATCTGGGAACAGGCTGCGACACCTTGTGTTTTTAATCTGTGCTCAGTACTGTAATTGCCCTGTGCTGTGTGATGTTGGTCATTCTTCAAAAAAATAATAAAACTAAATCATTGTGCTTTTTATGCATTCTTATGTACTGCACTTTGATTTATTTTCTTTGAGTAACTAGCGAGCGTATCATACGAGAGAAAGAAAAAGTAATTCTTAATGTTTTTTCTTTTATAAACCGGAATGTGTCTAATTGATGTGGGACCTCGTGAATGCTGACAAGCGGCGGCAGATGCAGCTTTTACACCAATCAATCAATCAATTAAAATGGCACCCAATGGTTTCTCAGCAGAGAGGCCAAGTCTTACGAATACCGAAATTATTTTTCACATATGCTTCTTGCTCTCTGAGAAAGATATACTTTTGGAGAGCCTTCGCATTCAGCAGCCCAACTTGAATAGATGGAATATTTCCCATCGGGTTCTGGGAATCTGTTGCGAAGAATAGCAAAACTACTG